GCTCCACTTCTTAAGCAGCCCGATGTGGAAGCTGCCAGAAAAAGGTCATAGACCCTCCCTCATATGCACAGATGCAATAACTACTTATGGGTTAGGAGCTGTTCTTCACAAGAGGGTAGAGATAAACAAATACATCCTATTTTCTTCGCATCCAAAACTTTGAGCATGGCTAAAAGAAGGTAATATGTATGTGACAGACCTGGAAGCATTAGCAGTGGTATTTGCAGTACGGCGCTTCCACATGTTTATATATGGTCTTCCAACCATTGTCATGACCGACCACCAACCTTTGACAGCACTATTCAAGCGTTCCAACGTGTCAGCCCGGGTGCTTAGGTGGTCACTTTAGTTACAAAGATGCAGCCTCGAGATTCGTTACGTCAAAGGGAAGGTGAACATAGTGGCGGATGCGCTTAGTAGAAGTGTTCCAATACCCAAAGGATCAAAATCCCAGATGGACTGGATGAGGCGGTAGTGAATTCATTTACAGCTAAAGAGGAGACACAGTGGCTGAAAGAATTGAGACAGGACCCGCAGTTTGGCGAAGTGATTAGTCTAGTTGAGGATGGAGTATGGGACAAAAAAATAAGAATCGCAGGCGAAAGATACCATTGAGAGTAGCGGACTTCATTCTGGAGGATGAAGAATTAAAAGATTCCTAGAAGTGGCACGTTGGTACGGGTAGTTCCCAAAAACATATCTATGAAGTGTTCCACAGCGGAGTGATCGCTGGTCACTTTAGTGCGAGGAAGCTTCTCAAAAGCTTGTACAAGCGAGTTTACTGGCCAGGGATGGTGCAAGACATCAATAGGACAAGGGAGTGCCAAAAATGTTTTGTACATAACCCACGAGAAAGGATGGTGCCACCGCTAAAGCCAATCGTGACTTCAAAGCCGTACGAGATTGTCGGTGTAGATATCCTCGAGTAAGGCTCCACATCCAGTGGAAATAGATCGCTGTAACGGTGATCGACCATTTTTCCAAATAAGCTGCTGCATACCCCGTAGCCAACAAGTCAGCGGCGACTATTGCGAGAGCGCTTTTCGAACTGTGGATCGCTGAAGGTTGCAGGTGGCCAAGGAAAATCCTATCCGACAAAGGTGGAGAATTCGTCAATCATGTAGTCAAGGAGATAACTAGGATCACCAAAATAACCCACATCACTTCAAAGGGGTATAACCCTAGGGAGAATGGGTTGACAGAGAGGCTGAGCGGAACTGTTGTCGCCATGCTAAGGAAGAGCACTGTCATCCTAAAGGAATGGGACAAGACTGCCAATATGATGGCGTACAATATGATTCCGCACAGCGTGACCGCTGAGAGTACTTATTTTCTCCTTCATGGTATGGACCAGTCTTTTTCCCTCAAACATTATCCCATGCAGGGATAAGCCCATATATGATGGACGAGGCGCTGGGGACTATAGAGCGCAACTATGTATTAGGTTGTCCGGAAAGTCCTCAGCTTTTTGTGTCACGATTTTTTTGTACATTCATTGCTGATTAAAAGCTCATTCTCCCTTGCGTCGCAGTAGTACATTCAAAAGAGAATTCTTTGCGCTATCTGATAGTATAATTGCCGTTTCTCCAATCCTTGATAACCCCCTTTCCCCAAGACTTTTTGAAGCATGTCAAAAGAGCAACATCGGACGATATTTTTCTTCAACTACAAATTGAGTCAATCCGCAGTCGAGACAGCCCGACAAATTAACCAGGTGTGGGGCCCCACTAGTGTTGGAGAAAACACCGTGCGACAATGGTTCGACAAATTTCGTTATGGAGATTTCAGCCTTGAAGGTGAACCTCGTAGAGGTAGACCTAAAGCAATACCTAACGAGGATTTGAAGGCGTTTGTGGAGGCTGACCCATCTCAAACAGTTCGAGAGATTGCAGAAAAGCTAGGCGTTGGCAAATCCACTGTTGCGGACGGTCTGAAAAGCATTGGGAAGGTGAAAAAACTCGACACGGGTGCTCCACAATTTGAGTGGCGGCAGAAATTAGCACGTCTCGAGTTTCTTCGTCACTGCTTTTGTGCAACAGAAACGACCCGTTTTGGACCGAATTTTCGCCTATGATGAAAAGTGGATCATGTATGATAACAGGAGACGTTCCGGGCAGTAGTTGGATGCCGAAGAACCACCGAGGCAATTTCCAAAGCCGGATCATCACGAAAAAAAAGATCATTGTCACAGTGTGGTGGTGGTGGTCATCGGCTGGTGTGATCCACTGCTACTTTTGTCACCAGGAGAAAACCATCACAGCAGAGTCCTACCGTGAAGAATTCGACGAAATGTTCCGAAAATTGCGTCAGCTGCAGCCAGCACTTGTCAACAGAGAGGGTCCGATTCTTCTGCATGACAACGCCCGCCCACACGTTTCACAAATAACTATCCATAAATTGAACGAATTAAGTGCTGAAGTTCTACCTCACCCGCCATATTCCCCAGACCTTTCGCCAATCGACTATCACCTTTTCAAACATTTTCAGAGCTTCCTTGCTGGAAAATACTTCTCGAAATTGTGCTGTCCCGGAGCCCCATTGCAATCTGAATGTGAAACACATAAAAAAGGTGTCAAAGCACCTTGTTCAGCGATTCCGATTTGGTCTGAACTGGTCTGCTGCTCCGATATCGTCACTCCTCGTGAAAACCGTGGCTTCTAAACACTAGACGGAGGAAGGAGTTTAAGAAGGAGTATAATCTGAACAGTAAAAAAATTTTTGCTAAAACTTTTGGATTCTTTTGAATCTTTTGAGACTTTTGCAATAAAAATTTTGGCGCCTCTTTCATGTGTTTAATATTCGGGAAATACTTCACCAATCAGAACCAGGAAAAAGCCTTCATGGATTTCGTGGATTCTCGACCATCCAGCTTTTGCTTTGATGGGATTTATCGAGTGTTGTCACATTAGCATAAGTGTGCTGAATCGAACGTGCTTATTTCGATTAACTCCGATGAGTATTAAGAAAGTTATGATCGTTTCAAGTGAAACATTCAAAACGCCGTGAATTTTCCGGACAACCTAATACTTCAAGGGAACCCAGAATCGCATGAGAGGGTGCACGACTACGGTGCCCGAGTTAGGGAGCGAATGAAAATATGTGTGATAGAGAAAACAAAAGACACATCCAAGAACAGGAGATAGAGTCTATGTTTGGTCGCCCAATGAAGAAGTATGAAGTCGCACCCAAAATGGCAGTTGAGCGGGGGTGGGACCATTCAAAGTGATTGAGGTAAGCGACAACTCTGCCTCAGACGAAAATCGAGGAAAACAGTGAACCCGTGCGTATACCGTTTTCTGACCAACCCGTCGAAACAGTACATGTCAGAGGTTCTAAAGTAAGAAAACCAAAGTTGAGGCATGTTGTATTCATGGGGAACATTCCAGAGGAGGAGTTCTGCTCAGACAAGGGCCAACTTCACTTCCAACGTCTGACTGATTGCTTCGCGAAATCAACGCTGGGAGACATTGGAGAAGTTCCCTTCCCAGGGGCATATGGCAAACGACCATTTGGAGACCTTTGACCAGCCTGGAAAGCAGCTTCAGTTTCGGAGCAAGTGAGCATGGCGCAGAAGGTGGAGCTGTTTAAGAGTCGTGCCGTATCGCTGAACACCGAGGACTTCGAAGAGTCTTGAAGGTAGCATACTCTTTGGGTACGGAATGGACAGAATTTATATGCACCACGAAGGAAATTCGCAAACACGAGCCGATCGACCAGAACTGCATCACTGATTCCTACCGTCCAGTTTTTGCACTAGTGAAGGAGGATTTGCAACAAGAATTTCGACAACTAAAGACCGTGAAGGAAGGCTCTACAGGCTTTGCACGGCCGCGTTGTTAGAAGGTGATGGGCCGAGGGGAGGCTTGACCACGAGGGTAGTTATGCCCTACATCAAGCTCAAGGAAACACTGGGGAAGTGGACTACCTTCTCAACATGGGTCGTCGTATACCCCACTCAAAGGAAAGGAAACAAAAGCGTGATTCAAGACATTCTCAAAACCACGAGGAGCCACTTAGAAATTAGATGTAGAATTGTCACAGCATGGCCCCCTATAAACGCGTCGAACGAGAAGGAATGGGTTGCTATGGTTGAACTTTGGAAGACCCTAGATGAAGCAATCCTGAAGATGGGAGGCAGGGAGCAGGTGGTCACAACGGCCAATGGATGGCAAAATTTTTATGGAACCGGGCACTCCAGAAGCCTCATGCCATTTTTATCACCCTTACCCAGGAGTGGCAGCAGCAAAGGACTTGTACTCATTTCTACGCAAAAGGGCAAAGACTGATTCTTCCTGATCTGGATCGGTCGCCGAGGACGGGGACACACCGAGGGGGAGGCTTGTCAAAGAGGGAAAGGAGCAAGGGACGGCCTACTGGCGGGATCAAGAAGAAGAGGAGGTCATGTCGACATCCACCCCCCCCCCCTTTGATCTCGCTTTCTCTCTCTTCCCGGGATCTCGCCGCGAGTCTAGCTCCTGCTCCTGCCCCGTTCCAGCTATAGGAGCGGATTGATCTTCCTTTTATCGTGTAGGTCAAATTGTACTGCCTCATTCCTTGTAGTTTTTTTTCCTAATAAAATCTTCCTGCTCTCCGTGTGGTGTTCACTCGAAGAAGTCAGACACACCTGGGCCTATCCCAGGTTGCACAGTGGTGTCCGTGTGTTCTTATCTCTTGGAATCGATTTCGGGGTACATTTTAGCGATTTTCCTTGTCAAAGAATACATTCCTGTCATTGAACAGCGCCGCAGAGCGGCACTTCCTTGAACACTTTAGTTTTGGCAGATTCCAAGAATTTCTTTTGTTTGATTCGCGTTCATGTAAATGTAGAATCCATGCTTTTCTGTTGATTCCTGCTGTCTTATTTCGATTCTCGTTGGTAGACTATAGCGATTTCTCTGTCTCAGTAAACCTGATGAAGCCTGGCTCGCGGAGCATTTCTCTTTTTCTTTTCAAATTATTTTATTTGTTTACACGTGGATTTTTCAGTTGGGTCAGACAACATGGCCGCATCCGTCACAAATGTCAATACCGACACGCCGTCAGATTCGATGGCATCTTTGTACGTCGGCGATCTTCATCCCGACGTCACCGAATTGATGTTGTTTGAAAAATTCAGCACCGCCGGATCAGTTCTAAGTATTCGAATTTGTCGCGACAAGGCTAGAGGATTTCCACTCGGCTATGCCTATGTGGATTTCGAACAGCCCATAGACGGTAAGAGATCGTTCAAGTTTTGATGTATAGGTAACTCTTAGCCTATGTTTGATTTCTTCTGTGCTAGCAAGATCGCTATAACAGATTCTTCATCTCGGTGTGACATCACGAACAGATGGTCTTGGCTAGAGGCAAAATCCGCCACTCCCGTGATGGAAGCGTTAAGGCAAATAAAGAATTTCACCTGCGACAACCTTGCTAGCACAGAGGAAGATTGAAAAGAAAAGGAAAAATGTCATGGTTACACAAATAGAAAAGCTGAACACCGTGGTTCATTTCTGCAGGAGTGCTTAAACCTTGAGCGGATATGTGGTCATTCATGCCGCAATCGTCATTTTTCAACATTGTTAATGATGGGGTAGTATTAGCTTGTGAGCAATAGTATTATGAAGCCGCAGTCGTGCACATAATTCGTTTCCTGTCAGGTCACGACCTGAAAATAGTTACGAAAAAAAACTTGAATAAAGTGAAAGAATCAAAAAGGTATTGCTGCCGGGCTTCTTCCTACCTTGAAAGATCCAGAAAAGAAGGGTAGGAAAGGTGCATTCTGTCAGACGCGATCTTCTGGTCTGACAAGGGAGGTCGTTCAGGGCGTGGTGCGCTTTTCGAAAACGGTTTGTTGCATATTGTAGGGGCTCACGCAAGGACCTGAAAGTGTGCTTCATTTTCGCTGCGCGCTTCCAGGAACAGTAAAAAACGAGTGAAAAGAAATTTTTGGAATCTGCTTCGTTCTGGGCCTCTTACGGCGTGGGTCACTTGCAACTTTGACCACTTGCTGTGTGGGGGGTCCTTATAAAGGGGCTATTTGAATCGAGGCGGAAAATCGCCGCAAGTGAGCTTCCAACTTGGGTCATATGCTCAAGGATGAACGGCCTCTTGCACTGTTTCATCAACGTAAAGAGCGCTAGCAGTGTCGAGCATCGATGGCCTAGTGGATAGAGTGAAGGTTTCGCATTCGGACAGTGGGGTGGGGTTGATGGTTCGGCTCCTCTTGCGTCGTCGCTTTTTGCATTTTTTAGATTTCGCTGTTCTCGCTTCATTTGTGTCTGCGCATGAATATAACTCGGTATTTTGCCATTTATGGGCACATTCTGAGTAGGCTATACTCATGTCAGTGCTATTCAACTATTTCGATTCTCACGCACCATTGAGCAAGATTGTTGCTGGCCGTTGATCCTCATTGCTATACAGTGAATCTGATTGCGAATTTAGTAATTTGGTGTGGTGCGATTATAGACAATTTGGGGCCACATCTTCTTTCCACTGAATTCGTTACGTACACCAATATAGGGAACGCTCAGCGCTATTCTGTCGCCAATTGCGTGGACGCCAAGAATATGTTTGTGATCAGGACCACTGATTACCACTAAAGAACGAATTTTGTTTTAAAACAATTGTTTTGACCTTCTGGGTTTGCTTATTGGGTTGTCCGGTGTCCGTAGCGCCAACGATACGTCATCGCTGTTACGAAGATGTGAGACTCCGCTCACACTGCCGACCAAATGGTCGGTCACCTACAACCCGAAAAAGTCAAAAATTTTTTTCGCTGAAAACTTTGTTCCTAGGGGTAATCGACAGTCCGCTGATCACGATTCTAGACTTTATTTTCGGTTCCAGTGCCATCTGGCGCCGGCATAGCGCCCAAGAGCTGAGTCTGTGCATACTAACGAATTCGAACAGAAAAAGCAGTTTTGCTCAGTTTGTTCAGTTTATCGTGAATGTTTTGCTAGGACCCAATTATTTAGACAAACATGGATCACAAAAATGAAAAATTGTAGAAAAGCAAAATTTTGTCCTCGTGGGATCCGAACACCATCGACCTATTTTTTACGTTTTTTTTATTCGTGGAAGCGCGCAGCGAAAATGGACCTCAGTTTTCTGGTCTTCGTATGTGCCCCTACAATATGCACAAGACCATTTTGAAAAACCCACCACGCCCTCGAACGACCTCCCTTGTGATGCCTTGACAGCCAATGCGATTACTTGTAGGCTGCGTTTATTACTTTGCGGCAGCGTAGCGTAGCGCTTCCAGCGTACGCCAGCGGCAGTGCCGAAGAGAGGATGCATATCGATCCTAGCTTCAACCAGCGTCACTCAGCGCACTGCTCGTCGTGTTCTCCCAGCGTTTCACCCAGCGTTTTGCTAGGCGTTTGCAGGGGCAAGGGCGTAGAGACTATGGAGAGCTGGAGGGTACAAAACACATCGATTGCGCGCTCTCACTCGCCCTTAGTCTTACAATGCAACATAGCTTCCTGCGACTCCGACGGCCCACATAGTCCTCTACAATGCACACATCGCTTCTGCGTCTCCGACGGCCACATAGTCTCTACAAATGCACATCGCTTCTGCGCCTCCGACGGCCAACATGCGTCTCTACAATACACGTCGATTCCGCGTCTCTCCCGGCAACATAGTCTCTAGTCCCTGCCGCTGCAAGCGCTAGCAAAACGCTGGTGCCGCTGGAGAAACGCTCGAGAAAAACGCTGGTGAAGCCTAGATCGATAGCTATGCTTCCCGTGCCCCTTGCTACGCCAGCGTACGCTAGCGTGCCGCTAGCGGCGGAACTCGGACGTGTACTTTCTGTAGAGATCTCTATGTGGCCGGCTGGAGGCGCGAGAACACCGGAGCGCTGGTGACCGCTGGTGAAGCTAGACTCGATATGCATCCTCTCTTCGATCTACTTATTGCGCCGGCTGGCCGTACGCTGGAAGCGCTAGCGACGCTAACGTTTTACTACGCTGGGCGAGGCAATAAGTATATAAAACGCAGGCCCAATGTTGTCGCTGCAGTCTGACGCCATAAGTCATGTCCTTTACATTCATCGGCTTTTTATTGTCTGCCGATAACGAATTTGTATACGGTTGCGTCCCCTTGCGCTATTGACTGTGAGCCCGCATAAATAAAACTGTTCACGTAAAATTAAAGGTAGATAAATGTGGAAAACTGACAGCCTAAAAGATTTCTCCCCAGAAAACGATTAGGATAGGTCAGCGTGGTTCAATTTGCAGTGAGGTGTATAAAACCGTAAGGCTTGAGCCACTGAGCTCAAATCGCATTCAAATTCTGTGAAAAATCAGAAAGGCAGGATATGTTTCCCTGCCTCTCCCCCCTCACTTGTGTCGTCCTTCACGTCTGTTCTGCTTTCCACAAGTGAAGTGGAAAAGGAGGGTTTCAAAGAGGCTGGTGCTGGAATAGTTACGTATAGGTTGGCGGGAAAGTTCTGTCACTTTTTTCAATTTGGGCTTTCTTTTTATGGAGAGGCGTGTAAGATCAAAATTGTATAGCAATGTTACTGCGGGATCCTTGCCTGCTTTTGAGTACCTCATGGATGCCATCGCTTCACAATGCAGGGAGGCGCGATACAAAGTTGGACGTCACTCAATCTTGGCTTAAACTCAGACTTTTCGAGGTTTTCTCGTAATTTCTCGTCCAGTAATGATTAATTACGGCAGGCAAATCGCAGTTAGAAGGAGCAATGTCTGTGCTACACCACGCAAGGGGAGAGCCATCCAGCTTTATCACATGAGGAACGGCTAGAACTTTTTTGGAAGTGCGCTGCACTATCAGAAGCATTTGGAGGGGTCGGTGGCTTGATAGCGGATAACATTCTTGTCCATATTGCAGGAGAAGAAGAAGCAGAAATCAAGCGAGTGGTACTAATAGAAAGATCACTTCTTGATGTATAAGTTCTCACATTACCGTCCACCCCTCTTCAGGTAATGGACAAGTATTTTGAGTTCGAAAAAGTGACAGAACTTTCCCGCCAACCTAATATATTGCTTCATAGGGGAGAAGGGGGGAATCAGTGCTCGCATCCGGTGCATGGTCTTTTTCTTTTCTTTTCAGGATTACTCGTATAAAGCAAGAAAGTACCTCCATTCAAAAACCTGTCGGTTTGCCTATTTGGGCGCATTCGGAGGCTAACCATTGAAGAAATTGAATCTGCAATTCTTTCTTCTAAGGACACTAGCAAGACAATATCTTGGTGGATTGAGTGAGCGTAACTCATATTGTAATTAAATATTCTGGCCTAGAGCAAGTATCGCGTAATCTCTAGAATCAACCAGTCGACGTTTCTCAATGACTGATATGGTGTGAAATAGAATCAGCAAGACTGATGCAAAATCGGCCCGCAAAAAATTACTGTCATGAGAGTAAGCAGGGTAATTCCCGAAGGCGAAGTTTGATTGAGCTATTTTTCAGGGTTTCAAGGTTCTCGTCATTTAACGGCTTCAGCAGACGAAGGGACCCGCTATCCATCTTTTATCTCTAGTCCGTTCCCAAGTTTGTACCCGCTGTTGTTTTATAATTTTTGGTATGCAACAGAATAGTCGAGCTATCCTAACGAGCCACGTGGTAGCCACGCATTGCACATTCAATAGGCCACCCTATTCAGAAATGTGGAGACATACAATACCGCTACTAATTTGTGGTCATTTGACGGTTTCGATAGATTTTCCATCGCAAACCGTCTTTTTGTCATGTCTTGCGCAGAAATAGTCCAAATTGCTTGGAAACTACATACAACAATGACTAGCTGTGACCACGGCGAGTCCAGTGATCCATGAACCCTTCAGTTTTGTTCAATCTGTTGGCCTTATTTCTGACGAATTCCACTGTTTAGTTTCCAGTACCTCAGGCGGTACCTGGGGATATGACAGCGACGTAAACCTTCAAGTCCGAAAGTGGAATGCTTCAAAGTTCAAGATGCTAACACATTTGAGAGAGCGCGTTCCCGTGACCATTTTGATACCACCTTTTAAGGAGTTCTCTAGCATTCAGTGCGAAATGAAGGAAAACCCTCTCATTTTTTCGAATTTGACGCTTCGTTGCAGCCGTATCTGGAGAAGGAAAAACCCTCCAAATCTCTTTTCTTCGGGCTTTTGTTTTCATCGTCCTCTTTCTGGAACGCATGATGGATTCCAGCCCGTACTCAAGGGAGTGATCGACGAACCTAACTTCATGACTGTTCCAAGTTTGTACCTGCATCGCTTTGAATCTAGTAAAGTGGCGGCGAAATCGC